GTTCTAACAGAACAGTGTGTGTGTCGTTCTAACAGAACAGTGTGTGTGTCGTTCTAACAGAACAGTGTGTGTGTCGTTCTAACAGAACAGTGTGTGTGTCGTTCTAACAGAACAGTGTGTGTGTGTGTCGTTCTAACAGAACAGTGTGTGTGTGTGTCGTTCTAACAGAACAGTGTGTGTGTGGTTCTAACAGAACAGTGTGTGTGTCGTTCTAACAGAACAGTGTGTGTGTGGTTCTAACAGAACAGTGTGTGTGTTGTTCTAACAGAACAGTGTGTGTGTGTCGTTCTAACAGAACAGTGTGTGTGTGTGGTTCTAACAGAACAGTGTGTGTGTGTCGTTCTAACAAAACAGTGTGTGTGTCGTTCTAACAGAACAGTGTGTGTGTTGTTCTAACAGAACAGTGTGTGTGTGTGTCCTAACAGAACAGTGTGTGTGTCGTTCTAACAGAACAGTGTGTGTGGTTCTAACAGAACAGTGTGTGTGTGTCGTTCTAACAGAACAGTGTGTGTGTGTGGTTCTAACAGAACAGTGTGTGTGGTTCTAACAGAACAGTGTGTGTGGTTCTAACAGAACAGTGTGTGTGTCGTTCTAACAGAACAGTGTGTCGTTCTAACAGAACAGTGTGTGTGTCGTTCTAACAGAACAGTGTGTGTGTGTCGTTATAACAGAACAGTGTGTGTGTCGTTCTAACAGAACAGTGTGTGTGTGTCGTTATAACAGAACAGTGTGTGTGTGTGTCCTAACAGAACAGTGTGTGTGTGTGTCGTTCTAACAGAACAGTGTGTGTGTCGTTCTAACAGAACAGTGTGTGTGTGTCGTTCTAACAGAACAGTGTGTGTGTCGTTCTAACAGAACAGTGTGTGTGTGTGTGTGTGTCGTTCTAACAGAACAGTGTGTGTGTCGTTCTAACAGAACAGTGTGTGTGTGTCGTTCTAACAGAACAGTGTGTGTGTGTGTGTAACAGAACAGTGTGTGTGTGTCGTTCTAACAGAACAGTGTGTGTGTCGTT